GCACGTTGCTCATTTATGGACTCTCATGGTTCTCCGATGGCTTCTTCTACAGAGTTCTTTCAAGGTGCTTGCTCTCCTGTAGGAAATATGCACAGAACATGTCTCTGCATCCATAGAGCAGCCGGAGACCGAAGCGATGTTTTATGATTTGTGTGGTTGCCTGAACATCCAGAATCCATTGTATATTTCTCAATCATGAGTTGAGTCTTAGTTGTTCTTTCTGTATTTTAAACAAGTGAGGAGAAGGCTAGATGTAATGTCGAATTTCTGATGTCTTCCAACAGAGCTGTAACACTAAAATGCATTTGTGACCAGGGAAAGAATCCCAGATAGTAGATAAGAAATCTGACTTCATTAACAAGTTTTTGATGGCTTAAGTATTCATCATTAACATTTTGGAGAACTTTACAAGTGATACTTTGTACAATGTCAAAAATTATGTCTTGGAATAAATTAATACACCTCAGATTTATCAGTTTCACCTTTTCACCTAAAGGCAAACATGTGAAAGCAATAAAACTCGAGAAAGCAGATTTCTCTGTAGAGTTCTGTTAATGTACAAACAGTATATGAATTTCACCTTCTGGTAACTTTCTCCTCTTAGTTAACCCCAGGCAGTATTCTCCACAATCAAAACTAATTGACTTTGACAAATACATATGAAATTGGTTTGACCACCTGTACAGGGAAGCCTGGGCTTTTTCACCAAAGTTTCTAGGTAAGCTTTTTTTAAAAAAAAAAATCATATTCCAACATTTCAATTTGGTTCTTTGTAATTTCACATCTCACAGTTTCAGTAATCCTTTTTTATGTATAATTGTTATAAAACATTATGTTCATTTCAGATGTACAACACAGTGATTCGATACTTAGATACACTGCAAAATGATACTACAGTAAGTCTAGTTACCATCTCTAAACCATACATAGTTACAGCATTTTTTTCTTGTGATGGCAACTTTTAAGATTTACTATCTTAGCAACTTTAAAATATGCATTACAGTATTATTAATGATGGGGCTTCCCTGGTGGCTCAGTAGTAAAGATCTGCCTGCCACCACAGGAGACTTGAGTTTGATCCTTGGGTGGGGAAGATCTCCTGGAGGAGGGCATGGCAACCCACTCCAGTCCTCTTGCCTGGGAATCCCATGGACAGAGGAGCCTGGTGGGCTACGGTCTATGGGGTCACAAAGGGTCAGACATGACTTAGCAGTTGAGCATGAGCACACACAATTAACTATAGTGGCCATGCTGTATATTACATCCCCAGGACTCATTTATTGTATAACTGGGAGTTTGTACCTTTTGATCCCCTTTACCTGTTTTGTGGCCCCTGCCAGCAATCACAGATCTCTTCTCTGTATCTTTGAGCTTGGAGCGGTTTTTTGATCTGTTTTTTAGATTCTACATTTAAGTATATATAAGTGAGGTCATACAGAATCTGTCTTTCACGTAGCATAATTCCCTCAAGGTCCATCCGTGTTGTTGAAAATGGCAAGATTTCATTCTTTCTCATGACTGAATAATATTCCATTGTATACACATACCACTTCTTTTTTCATCCATTCACTCATTGATAGACACTTAGGTTGTTTCCATGTATTGGCTATTGTAAATAATGCTGCAGTGAACATAGGGGAGCATATAGATTTTCTTTGGATAAATACCCAGAAATGTAACTGCTAGAATGTATGGTTGTTTTGTTTTGTTTTAAAATTTTTGAGGACCCTGCATGCTGTTTTCCAGAGTGGCTGTACCAATATTTATTCCCAACAACAGTGTAGGATGGTTCCTTTTCTTCACATCCACACCGACACTAGTTATTTGTTATCTTTTGATGATAGCCATTTTGGCAGGTGTAAGGTGATGCCTCATTGTGATTTTGATTTGCATTTTCCTGATTACTAGTTGATGTTGAGCATCTTTTCATATGGCCATCTGAATGTCTTCCTTTGAAAAAATGTCTCTTCACATTTTCTACCCATTTTAAAATCAGAGTGGGTTTTTTTTTGGAAATGAGTTGTTTGAGTTCCTTTTATATGATAAATATTTACATTATATTTTATATTTGGGTATTAGCCCTTTATCAGATACATGATTTGCAAATATTTTCTTCCATTTGGTAGGTTGCCTTTTCATTCTGTTGGTTTCCTTTGCTGTGCAGAGCTTTTTAGTTTGACGTAGTTCCTACCTGTTTGCTTTTGCTTTTCTTGCCTTTGCTTTTGGTGTAATGTTTCAATAATCTTGTTGGCGCCTGTTGAGTTCACCTCACTTCTATGGAAGCTGCTTTGTGTCTTGCAAAATCCTTGCTGTTTCCAACTGTCTGAAATCTCTGTATAACTCTCTGGCGCCTTTAGGATGGGCCAAATGTTTCATGTGGACACAGGCCCTTCCTTTCTGGCCCTGGTTTATCTCCTGCTCCTTCTCCCTCCCACTGTTCTGTCTGTTTCCCTTCTCACTCCCCTGGTCCACACACACACCACTTTCTCTGCTCCAACTTACAGGCCACTCACCCCTCATGTTCTTGATGGCTCCTTTTGAGGATGAACCTGGGTTTTTTGGCATCAGGGAATAGGTAAGGCCCTTCCTGTTGGAGCTGGGGCACTGATTGCTTGCAAATCTGAGACCAAGAAGGGGAAAAGTGGGAAAAGGGGAAAGGTAGGAGAGAGGGATAATTTAGGAGTTTGGGGTTGACCTGTGCACACTGCTATATTTAAAATAGATAACAAGCAAGGACCTACTCTATAGCACAGGGAATTCTACTCAATGTTCTGTAATAACCTAAATGGTAAAAGAATTTTAAAAGAATCAATATATGTATATGTATAACTGAATCACTTTGCTGTATACCTGCAACTATACAACATTGTAAATCAGCTATACTCCAATACAAAATAAAAATATTTAAAAAAAAGAAGTTTACAGGTCAGCTCCATGATTTGTTGATAGATTGAAATCTCACTAAATGAACTACACGTTCCTTATAAAAATATGGAGTTAAATTCCCATAGGCAGAACATCCCTCTCTATAGGTTTCTTCTTTGTCATGTGTTCTTTTTAAATCCACCTGAAATGTGACATCTTCTTTTCCAGGCAGAGTCAGTTTCTCCCTCCACTCTGCTCCCCAAACTCAGTTCCATGTTGTTAAAGGAAGAAAAAACAGATGTGGGCACTTTGTCAAAGTTTAATACAAACATGGTAAAAATAAACTGACTCTTTGAGGATCTAGATGGAAGATTTTTTTTCTCAGGGTGAGGTAAAATTGCATTACCTTATTCATCAGGGCATGGGGACAGCTGTTTTTACCAATTAGTTTTGATCTTTGTGTTTCTTTCTTAAGGATAAGAAGACAAATAACCCAATTGGAAAATGGGGAAAGGACCTGAATAGACCTTTCTCCAAAGAAGATACACAAAGAGCCAATAAACACATAAAAAATGTTCGACATCATTAGCCATCTGGGAAATACAAATCAAAGCACAGTACTACTTCTCAACCACTAGAATAGCTGTAATTAGAAAAATGCTCAATAACAAGTGCTGGTGAGAACGTGGACAAGTTGGAGTCCTCATACACTGTTGGTGGAGGTGTAAAATGATACAGCTGTCTTGGAAAACAGTGTTTTGTTCTTGTTCAGTCGCTCAGTCGTGTCGACTCTTTGTTACTGCATGGACTGCAGCCAGGCTTCCATTCATTTCCTGAAATGCAAAGGTAAAATGATTGACTGAGGAGGACTTACAAATAGCTGAGAAAAGAAGAGAAGCAAAAGGCAAAGGAGAAAAGGAAGGAAAACAGTGTGTCTGCTCTTCAAAAACTTAAACATAGAATGCCTATGATCCAGCAATTTCACTCCTAGGTATATACCCAAGAAAAACAAAAACATATGTTCATGCAAAAGCTAATACACAGTGTTCATAGCAGCATTATTCTTAATAGCCAAAGAGTAGTGACACCCCAAATGTCCATCAACTGACAACCAGATAAATGTGGTCTATTCATACAATAGAACATTATTCATCAGTAAAAAAGAACAAACTACTCTTATGTGCCACAAGATGAATGAACCTTGAAAACATGCTAAATGAAAAAAACTCAGACACAAAAAGACCATATAATATATGATTACACTTATGTGAAATGTCCAGAATAGGCAAATCTAGAGACAGAATGTGAATTTGTGGTTGCCAGGGGATGGAGGGAGGGGAGAACTGGGAATTAAGTGCTGTTAGGTACGTCCTGGAATTGGATGGTGGTGACAGTTGCAGCAGAAAGAGCATGGTCAAATGTACATTCCTGGTCTGTTAAAGTGCCCGGGTGTTCAATATGCATGCATTTTATCGTGTATTTAATATGCAAGAGGAAACAACCCTAGCCATCCACCAAATATATAGCTGAAGTCTTTTCCTCCAGAATCTGGTGGTAACCCTGTCCAGTCATTGAGTGCACAGTGAGCTACCGCCTTGGCGCTTGGGGTCGGGGCCCACTCTTTCCGGCCTCTAGGTCAGGGGCAGCAAACTGCAGCCCTCAGGCCAAGGCTAGGTGGCCCTCTGTTTCTATGTGGCTCTTGAGCTAAGAATGGCTTTTACTTTATAAACGGTTAAAACTAAACCAAAAAAAGAATATTATTGCATGACATGTGGAAAGCTTATGAAATTCAAATGTTTCAGTGTCCATAAATATTTACTGAATACGGCCATGCCCATCTATCTACTGTTGCTTGCAGCTGCTTTTGCACTTGGACAAAGACCCCGTGGCCCACAGAGCCTAAGCTATTTACCATCTGCCCCTTTATGGAAAACATCTGCCAGCCTCTGCTCTACAGATAAAGAGTTGAGTGAATTGTGTTTCCAGGAGTGAGGAGGGTGCTCTGGGCTGGACCTGCTGACAGGGCTCTGCTGGGCTTGTGACTGCTCCTTCGGGCTGGAGTTGCCTCATCTGGAACAGGAGACGGCTTGCATGATGGCTCTCTATAGCGTCTTTCCAGCTTTGACCGTCTCTAGTGTATCGAGATTCCAGTTTGTTCGGTGGCCCCCAGGTGGCCAGTGGGGCAGGGGGCAGCGTTCTTGTCTGGGACAAAGCCAGACTCCCTGGGGGCCGGGGAGTCACGTGAGCACACGGCACAGAGCTGGACACAGACCTGGGGAGCCAGTGTGTCTGTACAGGGCAGATCTGAAAACGGGCCCTCTCCAGGGCTCAGAAGCAGACGATTTGGGCCACTTTCATGTGTCCTAGTTTCATAGATTATATGTAACCCAGTTCTATTTATTTCTTTATTTAATGGCTGCGCTGGGTCTTTGTCGCTGCGCGGGCTTTTCCCTAGTTGCAGAGAGTGGGGGCTGCTCTCCAGGGGCGGTGCACAGGCTTCTCATTGCGCTGGCTTCTCTTGTTGCAGAGCACGGGCTCACTAGCTGTGGCGCATGGGATTCATTGCCCCGCGAACCCTCTCAGACCAGGGGTTGAACCTGTGTGGCCTGCACTGGCAGGTGGATAAGAATCCACTGAACCCCCAAGAAAGTCCCAAGTAATCCAATTCTTTTAACCCTGGGGAAGAAGGAAATGGCTGATGCTAAATATTGGGGACCTGGAGAAGGGCATGGCAATCCACTCCAGTATTCTTGCCTGGAGAATCCCATGGACAGAGGAGCCTGGTGGGCTACAGTCCATGGGGTCGCAAAGAGTCAAACATGCCTGAAGTGACTTAACACAATTATTGGTGAAGGTTGGCAAGGGATGATAGCAGAGGCTGACAATCTGAAATTCAGGTTTTCAAAATCCGATCTAGCACTTCCAGCAGGTTTGTGGAAATTGACTAGGTAACTGTCATGTCTCCTGTCCATAGAGTAGCAGGGCAGAGTCTCTGTGGTGCTTCCTGTTTTCTCAGTACTAACATGTGGCTCTTTATCCACAGTCGAACGGATCACGAATTGTTGGCATCATCACTCCAGCCTGGTGTCTGTCGCTATGGAACCATACTGGCCTGCTGCTATGGCTGGAGAAGGAGCAGCAAGGGAGTCTGTGAAGGTACTTTTGTAAAAACTCAGACCACCCGGTGTTCAGGTAGTTGGCCTGGGTCCTGCAGTTTTTCTCTGTGACACCATAAGCTGTCACCAGGTTACCAGTGGCTTTCCCAGAGCAGGGACACAGTCCTAACTGACACCCAAGGTCTAAGTTCTTGTGAGATCTCTTCCCATTCAAAATGTGGCTGACACCATCACCCTTGATATGATGTGTTTGTTTTAGGAGCCCTCTTTCATCAATTATTTCTGATGTTCTCTTAGTCAGTATGGCTGTTTTTGTTTTAATCTAGAGAAACTGAGTTAGGCAAAAACAGGTAAAGAAATACCTCATTCTAATTATAATTTTTCCAACTGATTTCTAATGAATTCCACTTTCTAATTATGAATCACCCAACCAGTAGGCTTAACAAAAAGGTTAGCCATTTACTTTGTAGTTCAGTTACTCACGTTTTTCAAGTCCATTGTGCCAATTTCTAGATGGTGTCAAGGGATGCATGCATCCCTTGATGCAAGATGCAAGGGATGCAAGATATGCATGGTTCTATTGTGTACATTTCACACTAAGTTTGCATAATTTGCTTTTGACCTCATTTCTCAGACCAGTGTTAGGAACTCCAAGAGAGGCCTCTGACAATTTCAAGAGTTGGGGAGGCTAGGGATGAGCACAGTTTTGTGTTGCATTGTTTTTCATGTAAATTTCTATAATAATGGACACTCACAGTGTAAAAGAATCAAATCTGTATTCTCTGTAGCTGACTAACCAGGGGTGCATTCTTTCAGGGCAGGAATCTGGTCTCGAGGCCTTGTGTATCTAGTAGGTGGCATAGAACCTGAATCCTTAATCTGTTAAGTGGGATGAACAGACATTTGCACATCCCATATACTTTAGGCACTGGTGTGGATCATATTGGATTATAAACTATAAAGCCCAAAAGTGTTAGTGATTTTTAAGAAGAATAATTCTACCTTCTTTTTCTGCTCTTTCCCTGCCCCAACCTCCTCCTCTTTGATTTAGCTGGTTCAGAAATAATCTGGGTAGACCATAGCTGCGGGCAGAACTTGATCATGTCCGAAATCCATGAAACATTGGAGGACATTGATCTCGCTCCCACATGTTTGATATTATGTAAAACCCTGCACTGTCGCAGTTTCCTTACGAGGAGATGACAAGAGTGTGAAGATAGTAGAAGAAATCTTTGAAGGCCATCACTGCCTGCCTAGCAGAAGAAAGTTAGAACATTTCCCTGGGACTTTGTTGGTTGAAAAGGGTGGTCTTCACACTGGTCGGGTGGGTCATGATCAAGAGCATTATCTTGAGAACCAGACTGACGTGGGTGACTTTGGGCAAGGTAGATAAGCTCACTCAGGCTCCATTTCCTCCCTTGCAGACTTCTGTCCATCAAAGCAGCAGGTGATGAGGGGGTTTAGTGTTGCTTTTTTCTCCTTCTAAACACAACATAATACATTTTTCTTTGAAGTCAGTCAGGTGGAAAGGGCCAAAAACCACACAGGATACCTGATTTGGAATCTCTCTTACAGTCATACGAACTTCAGGACCTCCGGCCATAAAACTTGCATGTCTCTGGTGAATAAATGAGGGTGAGCTTTGCTTTTCTGGAAGGGCTATTCTATAACTAGATCAGAGCAGTCTGACCATGGTGCACACAACCAATCACGTTCTCACCGCTTTTGTGGCCAATATTCATACCAGAGGCCTGAAGAGAATTGAAAGCCAGATGCTAAAGGGCATTCCAACACACCACTCCCACTGCGTGTTTGGCAAGCCAAAGAGATGGTCAGCCCACCGTCTGCCCCCGTCAAATGTTGGCACAGTAAATGACAATGATTTTTGTATCTATGCTATCATATTACATCTAATTGGCATGGTCCTTCTTGATGGTAAAGTCATATGCTTCTTGAAGCACCAGGTAACAGACTAGTTAGTCGCTGATCACCAGGCCTCTGATTTCTAAGCCATGGGGTGTATGGTGATGAGATAGAAATGCATGCCAACTTGCCTGAACAGGAAGAGCCAGGCTCCAGCCTGTGAGGGAGCAGTCTGCCCCAGCCTTCACCTCCATTGACTGATCACCCCTCAGTCCTTCAGAGGCCCTGCTTCTATGCCAGAGCTTTCTAGATCTCAGCCTCCGCCCTGCTTAAATCTGCTCCCAGGGCAGGGTCTGCTTCACTCAGTATCATTAGCCTTCAGATATGGGTCACTTAGTGAGATATGGAATAAAGAGCCATCCAACACTCCAGAAAGATGGAGGAGTTTGCAGGGAAATTAAACAAGAGAGCTTCCTTTATCTAAAACACACTTAAATCTCAGGCCATTTTAGACATAAACAGAATTTCCCTGTGCCATAGACTGGCTGTTCCCATCACAGATCCGAAGTTACAGTAAATCAAAAACGTCTTTCTGGAGTGCTGACCTCCAAACAGCAAGGGTATTAATGTTCACCACTTCTCCTCTCTTCTATTTGGCATTTATCCTGGGCTTTCCTGTCTGGACTACATTGAAAATAACTTTCCAGGGAGCAATCAGAGGTCTTTGGGGCTTTAAAAAAAGGTTTATTTTTCTAACATTTACAGTTAAAGCTGCATCTCCAAGAACATAACCATAACAAAATAGACCCTGGAAATCCAGTTCTATCTCATTTGCCTCCAAAAGTAGAAGAATTTTGGTGGGAAGTGTGTTTTCCCCTACCTTCTCTCACAATCTGCTTCAAGCCTTGAAATGTTTCCCTGTTCAAAGTTCTACATTTAGTGCTTTATTTGTCATTCAAAACTATTTCAATGTCTAACATGTTCACACTAGTAAATGCAGGAGGAGAAACAAAGATGAATGTTTATATCCCTGTTCTGAAAGCACTTAGTATCAGATAGTAGATAGAAGTCAAACATAGAAGTGAAATATCTGGCTAGTTATTGAATAAGATGAAGATATCAGTTTCATGGGAGAAGCCTGCCAGAGTTCTGTGGAGTTCTCAGAGATGAGCAGAAGTTCATGTGTGGCTGGAGAAATCTGTACAAGCTTCTGGAAGGAAGGGCCCTACAAGGTAGTCCTTGAAGGATTATTAGGATATTAACCATTGGGGTGGCGGGGAGGGGTGCCACAGGGTGGGGTAACAATAGAGATTGGGTAGAAAGTTCAGAGTAGGTCAGAGAAGAGCAGGCAGTCTGGTTTGACCTTATTGTTGCTTGGGTTCAGGGAACAGAGTAAGACTAAAAGAAGGCGGAGGCCAGGTCATGGTTATGACCCCCGTCCTGGATTCAGGACCCAACAGAGATTATTTGATGACTTCTAGGCAATGAAATCAGTCCTGAATATTCGTTGGAAGGACTGATGCTGAAGCTGAAACTCCAATACTTTGGCCACCTGATGCAAAGAACTGACTCATTGGAAAAGACCCCGATGCTGGGAAAGATTGAAGGTGGGAGGAGAAAGGGGTGACAGAGGATGAGATGGTTGGATGGCATCACTGACTTGATGGACATGAGTTTGAGTAAGCTCCGGGAGTCGGTGATGGACAGGGAAGGCATGCTGCAGTCCACAGGGTCGCAGAGTCGGACACGACTGAGCGACTGAACTGAACTGAACTGAGGCAATGCATGGCATGATCAGAGCTATACTTCTGGAATACCCCTTTAATGTCACATCGGACATCGATATCCTAGGAACAGCACCTGTGAAGGTGATTCTTGCACAAATATCCTGTTGAGAAGCACTCGAGAGAAATCTGTAAGGGAGTGAGGAAACAGGAAGAAGCGAGGCAAAGATGTGGCTTCAAGAGAAGTTTGACTTCATCCTGATCCCACAGGGAGCTCTGGAGTGTAAATTACACCGCAGCATTTGTCCTGCCCAGAAACCAGGGGCTAGGCTGTTAGACCTGTGTGTCAGCCAAGCCCTGGTCACAGACTGAGGTGAGGAAAGTGAAGAGAGAGAGGCATGCGACAAATCTCCCAGACATCTATGGGCAAAGTGGTTCCCAGCAGCTGGATAAATATTGGCTTGGCCAAAAAGTTCGTTCTGGTTTTTCTGTAAGTGACTGTAGAGAAATCCAAACACACTTTTTTGGCTAACCCAATACTTGAGGAAATTGGTGGTAGAAACAGGGATCAAGGGGTAGGGTGCTTGTCTGGGGATTGTTTGGGGATTGTTTGTTAGGTGATTGTTTGGGGAACAAGAATAAATAGAGACAGCTGAGATTTTGACTCCAGGTAGCTGGGAGATGAATGGTGACATTAGCAAAGGTAGGGTTGGGTCAAATGGGAACATGCCAGAGTCTTTAGGAACAGGCTTGCCTAGGAGTGGACCTTCTATGAGCCAGAGAATCAATGTGCAGAGAAGTAAGCAAGCAATTCTGGCAATTGCTGAATCATCCTTTCATATGCTGGCTGTTTCTGGAACTCCTAGTAGATCCAGAAAATGTGAGAGTCCATGATTCCCTACCTGCCTAGTTTCTCTCTCATTCATTGCTTTTCCTCTCACTCCTCTCGTGTCTTTGGGTTCTCCCATTTTCCTTTCTTTCTATCCATAGCATTTTCTCCCTATCTCCTCCTTATGAGCCAGAATCAAACTTTCCACCATCTTTGACTACATTTTCTTGCCCCCAATCCAATCTGTTACCCGTCCTATCCTTGTTTCTCCTGCCACTTCAGTCATCCAACAAATATTTATTGAGTTCCTAGTTTGTGTCAGGTGTCTGGATACAGAAGTGGATAAAACAGAAAACCAAATCCTGCCTTTGGCATGCCTCCGTCACCACCACTCTCACCATCACCATCATGCCTGTGGTTCCCATCCTTGGAACCGGAGGCAGCGTCTCCCTGCCTCCAACCTGTGCTTTGTTCATTTTGGCTGATAACACACAGAATTGAAAAATTTTGATCATTCAAAAGAGAAACGGGGAAAATAATACAGAAGAGAAAAAAAAAAACAGTAGAATGGGGGAGAAGGACCTTGGCCTAGTATAACTATGGAGTTTCTTCCAGCTCACAAATCATATTCCTTTTGTTAAATCTTTTGTGTTTACATATAAAACTGGCTAATTGAGATGTAGGAGGCTTTCTTTTTCTTTGAATGCCACTGGAGGTATGGCAGTGCTAGGCAAAGTTATGGTCAACTTGTACTCATGGGGTGGAAGGGGGTGAGGGGATGGGGACTGGTAATGTAGTTCAGAAGCGAAGCACTATTCAGTATTTTAAAGGTGAAAACAAACTGGAGAGGAAGCAGATCACCCTCTGTATTGTATGTCACCGTGGATTTCTCTGCCGCACAGAAGGCAACTAAGTTTAACACATGTGCATTTCACTGGGCTGACTACCCCTGTTCCTTTTAATTTCTTTATTGAAATATAGTTGATTTACAATGTTGTGTTGATTTCTGCTATACAACAAAGTGATTCAGTTATACATATATATTTGTATTTTTTTTAATATTCTTTTCTATATGGTTTATCCCAGGATATTGAATATAGTTAGTTCCCTGTGATCTACAGTAGGACCTTGTTGTTTATTCATCCTGTATATACTAGTTTGCATCTGCTACTCCCAAACTCCCAGTCCTGCCCTCTCTCATCCTCCCTTCCCGTTGGCAGCCACAAGTCTGTTGTCTATGTGTGTGAGTCCATTTCTGTTTTGCGGATAAGTTTATATGTCTCAGATTTTAGATTCCACATGTAAGTGGTATCATAAGGTGTTCGTCTTTCTCTTTCTGACTTACTTCAATTATTATGATAATCTCTCTAGGTCCATCCATGTTGCTACAAATGGTATTTTATTCTTTTTATGGTTGAGTAATAGTCCATTGTATATATGTATCACATCTTTTTCATATGTTTACCTTTCAGTGAATATTTTGGTTATTTCCATGTCTTGGCCATTGTTGATAGTACATGTATGTATCTTTCTAAATTAAATTTTTGTTCAAATATATGCCCAACAGTGGGATTGCAACTCTATTTTAGCTTTTTGAGGAACTTCCATACTGTTCTTTCTTGTGGCTGCACCAATTTACATTCCTTACCAACAGTGTAGGAGGGTTCCCTTTCCTATATACTCTCTCCAGCATTTATTATTTGTAGACTTTTTGATGGTGGCCATTCTGCCTGGTGTGAGATGATACCTCATTGTAGTTTTGATTGCCCTTAGCTGTGTTGAACATCTTTTCATATGCCTATTGGTTCCTATTTTTTAATCATCAAAATACCTTTTCTTTCCACAGCTATGTGTGAACCTGGATGCAAGTTCGGTGAGTGTGTGGGACCAAACAAATGTAGATGCTTTCCAGGATACACCGGGAAAACCTGCAGTCAAGGTCAGTACTAGAGACCACGGTGGTAATACAGACCTACCCCAGAGCTTTCAGAATCAATTCAGGCTGTGCAGTGGTGTTTGGGACACAGCATAGCACTCAGGATTCTGCAGTTTGTAACTCCAATCTTCAAACGAAAGTGGTTTCAGAATGACATTTTTCAATCAGTCTCTTCTAGAAAAATGTCAAAGTCATTCTGATGCTTTTCTTAGGATGCCAGATAAAAAACATTATTTTCCCTCAAAACAAATAATGTGTATTGTTTTTTTAAGCTAAGGAAGAAATGCATATATTTTATTTAAGAAAATGCAACAAAACAAAAGGATATAAATTTAAAAGTGAGCGTGAACACCCACAGTCCATCCTCCACCCGTAGCTAAGAGTTAATCTCTGCAGTTTCTTTTCTGTTATGGTTACAAATATGGATATTTCTCATGGGCATTTCTGCATGTCAGCACACAGAGAGCTGTCTCATATTTTTTTAAGGCTCTATCCTAGTTCCGCGAGCAAATGCTTGTGTCATTTATGTAAAAATACTTTAACCGCTATTATAGAAGTTGTCCCCAATTTTTTGCCATTACAAATAGCACTGTATCAGTCATTATTCTATGCATATCCTTGCACCTTTGAGTATTTTTATAGGGTAAATATCTAAAAATGGAATTTTTGGGTTGAATGACATGCATATTTTTATTGCAATTGATATATTTTAAAGGGCACTTTATGATTTTTGTCATAGGCTATTTATCTGAAGATACTAAAGCAGTTATAATATTAAGAGCAGTGGTTCTGAAGGTGGGCAGTTTTGTCCCCTAGGAAGACTTGCCAGATAAAATACATATCCCTAGTTAGATTTAAATCTTATTTTCAAATGCAATTTCACATAAACAACAAATAATTTTATATAGTGTATGTATGTTGCAAATGTTGTATGGGACATATGTACACTGAACAAATATTAGTCATTTTTCCAAAATTCACATTTACCCAGGCATCCTGTATTTTTATTTGATAAATCTGGAGTCTGACCCCCGAGGTCATCTGGCAGTGCCTGGAGACATTCTGGTGGGTAGAGCCCAGCTGAACATCTATAGTGCACTGGGCAGCCCCCCGCTAAGGGTGATCTGGCCCCAGATCTCCACAGTGTGGAGGAGCCCAGGCACCAAGAAACCTGTGCTAATTAAGAAAGGGTCTCCAGTTCTATGACACAGTTAAGCAAAGAGCAACAAATCCAGCTCAGCTGCCCTTAAGAATGAGCCCTGCCAGGGTTCTAAAAGGGAGAATTGAATTCCAGAGAAAGCCAGGGGTCTGCCCCACTCTGCTGCCCTACCCCCCCACCAACCTCACTGCCAAGGCCAGATGCTCACATAGCCTTTCTTTGTGCTGGCATACCTGCAGGCTGAGGGAGGACCCTCTAGCTCTCCTGTCATGACCCCAGGACGGGGGCCAGCACCGCCAAGGGGCTCCTCAGAACCGTGTCCAGAAGGCTTGAGGGAAGCGCGGCAGGAGCCCTGCTCTCATAAGTAATAATTCAACCATGTCCCTTACCAGAGCGTTTCCCACCAGAAGACCTGTTTTATCCATATGTCTTGGATTCTGTACCAAGATCCCTTCTCAAGAGAGTTGGAATGGAGAAGGTATTTTTTCATGCTGCTTTTCAAGTCCCAGCAAAATATTCACTTTGAGGAAGTGTCCAGTTGGCTCAGATGTGGGCCTGTCTGGCTTTTCCCCACAGCCTCCCTGCCCCAGGGCTGCCTAATCAAAGTCCATGTATATCCACTGATGGCCACAGGCCTCAACCCAACTGATGTCTTTCCCCAGAATGCTTCTTCCAAGAGATGCCTCTGACTTAGGGCCAAGTGATGGAATATCCCTGGCTTTCCTGTTATGTCCAACCAGCATTATTTAATTCATGCCTTTGAAGCAGTTAGGATCCAGACAGGAGATGGTAGTGTGCAGGGGACTGGCGGTGGAGAAGGGGGTTCAGGTGTCCAGCTAAGGTGTTGGAAAATCTCCACGTAAGGTTCTTTTCAGAGGTGAAGCAGCCACTTACTTATTTTCCACAGTGGCCTTTGCCTGTTACTGTGCTGAATTTTGATCTTACATGGAATTTGGTTCTTTTCTCCTTTCTATATCTGCCTTGAAGGAGTTACGACTTGTGGCACCCACATCACCACGTACCCAAAGACGAAACCCATGATGGCTTTACAAGTTTTTTTTTTCTTATGTATCATTTTCTATTTTAATAAAAGCTAATTAATTCTTAATGTTTCACGTTTTAAACCCTGAAAAGCTCAGAGAAGAAAGTCCCTCTCAATCTTCCCAGGAGGTAGCCATTATAAATGTGTAGAGCCTAGTCTCCCAAGGTTTTTTATTTCTGCCTGTGCCACATGGCTTACAGGATCTTAGTTGCCCGACCAGTGGACCTCAGCTGTGAAAATGCTGAGTTTTAACCACTGGAATGCTAGGGAATTTCCCTAGGTGTTTTTTCCTATGCTTATTTTAAAAATGTGGTATCTATATACATATTTTTGTAAACTTCTTGTGTAACAGCATCCTCTGAGCACCTTTATGTGGGATTAAATATTGTCCTGTGACCTGACTACCAGTAATAGCTGCCTGGCAGGGCCCCCTCAGGAAAGATGTGAGACAAGGCTATTTGGCCAGCATGAGGCCGCTCAGAATAATAATTGAAAGGAGATTGTGCAGTTGGCATCTATCATAGGCTACCTGGGACAGCATTAAAGGCAGCAGTATCTAGATGATAGGTTTTAACTTTTTATTCAAGTAGGAAACACACAAACAACCCCATGAGTGTTCAAGAACACCCATGTAGCTGGCATTCAGATCCAGAAATGGAAACTTAGCCTCTCCTGAAGACCCCTCATGCTCCCTTCCATCACTTGCCCCCAGCCCCCAACACGGAACTGTACCTTGTCTCTCACACCACAGAGTCATTGGCCTGGATTTGTTTTGCTTCTTTCACTCATGCCTGGGTTTCAGTGTGCTCATTTGTGTCCAGCTTCTCCCAGTCAATATCATGTTTGTGAGTTTCATCCACAGTTGTTTGTACTTGTGGTTTGTTCAGTCTCACTACTGCATAGTATTCTATTGCATGAGTATACAAGTCATTTATCTATCCTTTTGGGAGGAGAGATTTGGATTCTTTCTGGTTTGAGGCAGTTCAGAATAGTGCTACTGTGATCATTTTAGCATGTGATTTTTTGGTGGTTTAGTTGCTCAGTCGTGTCCAACTCTTTGCAACCCCATGGACTGTATAGCCTGCCAGGCTCCTCTGTCCATGGGATTCTCCAGGCAAAAATACTGGAGTGGGTTGCCATTCCTTCTCCAGGGGATCTTCCTGACCCAGGGATTGAACCCAGGTCTCCTGCTGGATTCTTTACTGACTGAGCCACCAGGGAAGCCACCATGGGCATGTACCCATGTTTCTGTTGGACATTCACCCAGGAGTGGAATGGCTGGCTCACAAGTATGTCTGTATCTAGCTGCCACACAGTTTTCCAGAGTGGTTGTACCTATATTTGCATTCCATCCAGCAGTGTATGATGATTCAGTTTGCTCCACATCCTCACCAACTCTTTAATGATGGTCGGAGAAGAGGCGAGTCACCACCCTTTGAACCTACCCCCACAGCTGGGGTCCAGGGAGGCCAACCCCGTTCCACATCTGGGTGTTTCCTCCTTTAGTTCACCTTTCTCCATTTTCTGACTGCCCCCTGCAGATGTGAATGAGTGTGGATTCAAACCCCGGCCGTGCCAACACAGATGTGTGAATACACACGGTAGCTACAAGTGCTTTTGCCCCAGCGGCCACATGCTCCTGCCGGACGCCACATGTTCCAGTAAGTTTCAGCAGCTGGTCTGCTCTCAGTCAACCCAGAGCCTTGACTTTTGCCATTTAATGCTTGGGGCAAAGTTGACTTGAGTTATTGGAGGGGAAAACCCCCCACCCCAAAGACACTCACATCACCCTAGACTAAAATATGTTTGCGCACTTATTTTTTTCAATTTATTTATTTTTTAATTGAACGATAATTGCTTTACACAATTGTATTGGTTTCTGCCAAACATCAACACAAATCAGCCATATATATATGTCCCTTCCGTCTAGGACTTATTTTTAATTGTATCAAAATACGTATATTGTGCAATTCACCATTTTGACAATTTTAAGTGTACAATTCAGGCATTTTGTACATTCACAATGTTGTGCAAACCATGACCACTCTCCAGAATATCTCCATCACCCCAAAAGGAAACCCTGTCCCCATTAGCAGTCACTCTCCACTCATCTCCTCCACCCCAGCCCTGCATTCTGTCTCTCTGGATTTGCGTGTTCTGGCCACGTTGTTTTTAAATAAAAAGACTAACTGAGGAGAAAGATAAATTGAGTATCTCTCTATATACAGGGATGAACTAGGATTCTTCATGAAAAAAATAAGCATACTGAAAATATAAGCATATTGTTTCAGGAAGGTGATAAATCTCAGTTCCATCTCAGGACATCAGTTCTTCCCACCAGCTCTCTTTCTCACGCCCCTTGCCCCACACTCAAAGATTAGTGACTCTTGTTGGAAGTCCATTCCAGTTCACATTCCTGAAAAGAAAAGCCCTTCTCTGATAAAGAGAACCCATGTCCTGTGGGAGCCTAAATGTCTATATCTGTTCACTTATTGAGAAGGAAGGCTTTTCAGGTTTTATGTTGCAGCTGAAAAGCAAATCCATCCACCCTGCCGCCCCCAAAAAGCCTGCAGCTTGTGCCTTCTGCCAGCTTCCCATGGTTGCAGGGTCCTCTGACTCCCCAGCCTATCCTGGGCTCTCCCTCGGTTGTAAAATCCAGGCTCATGCATAGCTCGCTTCCCCCACCCCGCCTCATCCTTTAGCTGCTCACCCCACTTGGCAAAGTGCCCCAACACCACTACAGTCTCCATTAGCAAGCATGCTTAAGAGATAAAGCAGGCATTCACAGTCTTTTTTTTTTAGTATTTTTAAAAATATTTATTATAAATTAAACAGAAATCCCCAAGAAACAAATATGTAGCTTAATGAATTCTTATAAAGCCAGCATCCATGTAACCACTACCAAATAGAACTTTGCCAGAGCTACCCCCTTCACCCCCCAGCCCCTTGGGAACAATTGTCCAGAGTTTTCTAGTCATCACTTAACATTTTTAAAAAGATATATGCTAGTGGATGTTTCTGAAACATTCCACAAGAGCCTAATTAGTGCCAAAAAAGATATCTTTCTCCAAATGGAAGGATAAAATGAGATAAATTTTGAAGATTAATTTTGAAAGAAGACAACTCAAGAGAAAAGGGATAAACTAGAAATATAACCATTGGTCAGTGTTTTCTATATTACCGTGGCCTGTGTGTTTGTCCTGGTACCCTCTTTGTCTATTACCATACATGTGAGGGTTGCCTCTGCCTTCCTGTTTATAGCTTAGAGTGACCAGGTGGCCCTGAATGCTGATTTTATTTATCCAGCCCTTTGCAGCCTCTTTTGTCCAGCTGGTTGACTGGCATGTTACAGATGCGGGTGGATAAAGAGAGGATGTTCACTGTGCTACCCTGTTATAGGCGCTTTTGATCCATATATACTGGAACCCTACTAGGGATATGTGTTTTTGTGAGACAAGGTCTATTTAGCAATGAGTGACAGAAAAATTGAACTAAATTATCTTTATTTTTAAAAGCTGGAGGCAAGCAGTTCCAGAACAGGTCAGCAAGGACTCAGCCTCTGCCATCTTCAGGGTATTGATTTCATCCTCATGTTTGTGGCCTTGTGGTCACAATATGGCTGCCCTAGCTCCAGATATCACACACACATCAAAAGTAGGCAAGACAGAAGGGAAAGGAGTGATGCCAGGAAACAAACGCCTCTTTTATGTCCATCCATCTTGTCATGCAGCAGCATCTTTTCCAGAAACTCCAGCAGACTTATCTTAATATCTCTTTGGCTATAACTGAATCATATGGCCACTCCCTTGTTGCTGCAGGGGAAGCTAGGAAAAAGATGTGTAACTGGCTTTTCAGCCTCAGTAATGGGAATGGCTTTTGGGTAGCTGATCAGCCTTATCTGCTGCGCATTTTAATACACGCACCTTAAAGACAAGGTTTTGTGATTTGAGTGACTCTCACTGAGGCTAGATATGAATAGAGAGATGGATAGAATTGGCATTTTTTACCCTATTTATTCAAATGAATCATCTTCCTCAGAGGTTGCATTTCAACCAATAGTAGAGACCAACCAGGTGACGTGAAGGAGATTGGAGCTTGTATAGGAAGAGAGAGAGATGCCGTCTTTGGTGACTGAGGGGTGCATGCTCTGCCTAAAGACAGTCAAGTGCAATGCATTGGCCAACAGAATCAACCATGGGGCCATCAAGACACCACCCCTGCACAGATTCTGTTTGGATCTCCATCTGGGACTCAGATGATAAAGCTTATCCTCTGATACCATTCCACGTGTTACATTTCATGTCTCAGGGGTCAGGGATTGTTCCTTAGTGAGCATTTTTTAATCATCTCTTGGGGAAAAGGCTGACCCGTGCCTCTTTTTGCAGACTCTAGGACGTGTGCCATGATCAACTGCCAGTACAGCTGTAAAGACACGGAAGAGGGGCCGCGCTGTCTGTGTCCCTCCCCAGGCCTCCGCTTGGCCCCCAATGGAAGAGCTTGTCTAGGTAGAGTATCCGGGGTCACCTCCTCCCCTGACTTCTCTTTTTATTCCATTCCTCCTTTTTCATCCGTCACAGCCTACTTGTTGACTAGACATCGAAAGTTCCTGAAATGACAGATTTATGTCCATTTCCATGACAACATTTATAGCACATATGTTCTAAACACACTTTGCCATGCTAGAGAAAACACTTCTCTATAATTTGTTGGGTTGCCTGATGCCATAATGGAAAAAGATAAAAGTAATTTTATTTTTGTATATTTACCCTGCACTTTTTGCTTCAACTACCAAGTTGTATATACTCTTAGTGTATTTAAATATATTGCACTAAAGATAGATAATATTATGACCAAGTTAACACATAGCATTAATATGGGATGTCAAACCAAACAGAATGTTCAAAAGAGTTCTTAATCTTTTTTGATGGAAGCAAGCAAATAGCACTATGATTTAATATTCTAACTTCTGGACTACAATAGAAGTAGATTTTTCATTTGAGGTGGTTGGTGCTTATTTACCCTAAATGTATTGATACATAACTTGATAAACCACATTTAGGAAGCTCACCCAAGGGATGTGGGAGGGGGGATCGGGATGGGGAATACATGTAACTCCATGGCTGATTCATGTCAATGTATGACAAAACCCACTGAAATGTTGTGAAGTAATTAGCCTCCAGCTAATAAAAATAAATGAAAAAGAAATTTTTTTAATAAAAAAAAACAAGGTACTTAAGAATAAATTTAACAAAAGAAGAAAAAAAAAATAAAGCTCACCCAAATAGATCCTAAATCAGTTAACCACTTTAATAAGAAGTCTGTATAAATTAAAAATTTGGTTCTGCTCTTTGAGAGCAGGCAAATATTTAATTCAGTTCACAGAGTTTAGTGCTCTTCAGTAAAATCAGATTTATGTCAAGGCTAATTCTTGGCCAAATGAATCCAAGTGTTCACACGCCTCTTTGATTTGTCAAGTGCCATTTTTATTGGAGGAGAAACTTGATGTATATGAAAGTAATCCCTGAAAAATAATTTTGGTCAATCCAACACTTACTTGTTAATTATATCAAGAATGCAAAAAGAACAAGAAGCCAGCCCCAAGTTTCATGTTTAACCACTGTTACAAAATAATGATGGTTCCAAATTTACTTGATTTGACATCTGAAAGTTAAGGCAAAGTCTGAGTCTTAATGGTTTGGTCTGCATAGTTGTCGGCCCCCCTGTGATGTGACTTTCCATGGTAGTAAAGGAAGGAAGCCTCTTGTCTCCTAAGTTGCATCATGGCTTTATGCCATTTGACCCACAATTTATGTATCAGTACGTTCTTTAAAAACCGTGTTTCTGTGATTTGGAACAATATGAAAGGATTTGGAGGCAGTTGCTAACGAAATAATTCTTTTGTGAAATGCAAGCTTTGAATGTTTGTGTATTAGGTTTGCCATGCAATATCCATAGCTGGAATAATATTAATTCCTTCGGCAAAACAGAGTGTCTGTGTACCAAGTGCCAAGTTCCCTGCCTCAGAAAAGGCCGGGCCTAATGAGAGAGAAAATGTGCATATAAGTAATGCCATTACAGCAAGATAGTACCTCTAAAATAATGTGTATAAAGTGATAGAAATCCAGTGAATGTGCCTCGGGGATCCAGAACTCTTCCCGGAGGATAGGACTTTGGTAGCAAAATAATCAGAGTTTTCCAGTGAAGAAACCACACGTGCGTGTGTGCACTGTGTGCTCTGGGTGCGGGCATCAGAGTGTTTGAGGGAGGGTGCTTTCTTGGTGTGTCTGACATGTCCTGGTTCTCCATCCTAGACATCGATGAATGTGTCTCTGATAAAGCCTTCTGCCCCTACAATCGAAGATGTGTGAACACATTTGGAAGCTACTATTGCAAATGTCATGTTGGTTTTGAACTGAAATATATCAATGGCTGGTACGACTGTGTAGGTAAGAAACCTATAGGCTTTCTCTACAGATATTGAGACATCAGTTCTGTTAGTTGAACCATCTACTGTACTGACCAGCTTAACAACACAGAGAAAGTAATATTTTTAAAAAATTTTTGTCATTTGGGAACTCTGATGACATGAATTACATGAAGCCAAGTTTGTCAAAGTTTAAAGTAAAGAATAGCAGTCTCTGTAGCTCTATTTTGGAGATAAATAGCTTGAGATGATTTTTGTGGGTTTTTTGAAAAAAAAAATTATTGGTTTTGTTTTGTTGATATTTTTGATTCTATCTCCAGGTATAGCTAAAATTGCTAAGTTACTTCAGTTGTGTCCAACTCTTTGTGACCCTATGGACCGTAGCCCTCCAGGCTCCTCTGTCCATGGGATTCTCCAGGCAAAAATACTGGAGTGGGTCGCCATTTCCTCCTCCAAGGGATCTTCCTGACCCAGGGATGGAACCTGCATCTCTTATGTCTCCTGCATTGGCAGGAGGCTTCTTTACCACTAGTACCACCTGGGAAGCCCTAAAAATGAGGACAGTGAAGCATATTTATATTTGATAAAAGGAGGAATACCAAGTCCTGCTTAATCTTGATCTCAGTGGCCCTTGCCTAAGTCTCCATCAGGAGTGGCTTTAGAAAAATGAATGAAGGAGGTGCGATGTGCTCTTTCCTCGCTCCTCCTTCAACCCTTCCATGGTTCCAGCTCTATGTCCCCTAAAATGTTCACTTTCTGGGGTCATCAAGATCACTCTATGATAAGACTAAGATATCACTCAGCTCTCAGCCCTATACGGGTGAAATCAGAGATCCTGTCCCTTAGGGAAGGAATTCCAAGCCTCAATGAGCAAGTGAAGTGGGGTATTTGGGGAACCCTTGGACGGCTTTCCATTGCCCTTGATAGAGCATGGATGGGGTTGGTCCCGCAGACATCTCGTCCCCCTGGAGTGTCCTGTTTACATGATGTGCACATGACAGACATGTGTGTGTAACACGGAAAGCTAACAGCATTAGGGAAAGTAGGATTTCTTTCCACCCCAAGCTCAGAGCTGACCAGGACATGTCCTGTGTAATCGTGTTGGGGTAGTATCCATTCCTGGGTTTTGAACACATCGTATGAAGCCTCCATAGCTCTTCCCTCAAGCCTAAAGGCCATCCTAATCCGGCTTGTAAAATCCTCACTTCTTGTGAGCTGGGATCCTCCAAGCTGCTCCAGACCCCACCATCTCTGGGGTCCATCTTCAGGCTGTGTCACAGAGCTGGAGCCTGTTTCCTGAGACCTAGAGGGAGATGCCACAGGACAGGGGGGTAGTCCACATGGGGAACTGTCAAAGGAAGCAAACATTTGTGATTTAATAAGTGATTAAGATCCCCCCCCATGGAAAAAAATGCAAAAAGGCAAAATGGTTGTCTGGAGGAAGCCTTAAAAATAGCTGTGAAAAGAGAGAAGCGAAAAGCAAAGGAGAAAAGGAAAGATATACCCATTTGAATGCAGAGTTCCAAAGAATAGCAAGGAGAGATAAGAAAGCCTTCCTCGTGATCAGTGCAAAGAAATAGAGGAAAACAACAGAATGGAAAAGACTAGAGATCTCTTCAAGAAAATTAGATACCAAGGGAACATTTCAGGCAAAGATGGGTTTGATAAAGGACAGAAACGGTATGGACATAACAGAAGCGGAAGATATTAAGAACAGGTGGCAAGAATACACAGAAGAACTGTACAAAAAAAGATCTTCATGGGCGAGCCAGATAATCACAATGGTGTGATCACTCACCTAGAGCCAGACACCCTGGAATGTGAAGTCAAGTGGCCTTAGAAAGCATCACTACGAATAAAGCTGGTGGATGTGATGGAATTCCAGTTGAGCTATTTCAAATCCAGAAAGATGATGCTGTGAAAGTGCTGCACTCAATATGCCAGCACATTTGGAAAACTCAGCAGTGGTCACAGGACTGGAAAAGGTCAATTTTCATTCCAATCCCTACGAAAGGAAATCCCAAAGAATGCTCAAACTACCGCACAATTGCACTCATCTCACACACTAGTAAAGTAATGCTCAAAATTCTCCAAGCCAGGCTTCAGCAATATGTGAACCGAGAACTTCCAGATGTTCAAGCTGATTTTAGAAAAGGCAGAGGAACCAGAGATCAAATTGCCAATATCCGCTGAATCATCAGAAAAGCAAGAGAGTTCCAGAAAAACATCTATTTCTGCTTTATTGACTATGCCAAAGCCTTCGACTGTGTGGATCACAATAAACTGTGGAAAATTCTGCAAGAGATGGGAATACCAGACCACCTGACCTGCCTCTTGAGAAACCTGTATGCAGGTCAGGAAGCAACAGTTAGAACTGGACATGGAACAACAGACTGGTTCCAAATAGGAAAAGGAGTACGTCAAGGCTGTATATTGTCACCCTGCTAATTTAACTTACAGGCAGCGTACATCATGAGAAACGCTGGGTTGGAAGAAGCACAAGCTGGAATCAAGATTGCTGGGAGAAATATCAATAACCTCAGATATGCAGATGACACCACCCTTATGGCAGAGAGTGAAGAGCAACTGAAAAGCCTCTTGATGAAAGTGAAAGAGGAGAGTGAAAAAGTTGGCTTAAAGTTCAACATTCAGAAAACTAAGATCATGGCATCTGGTCCCATCACTTCATGGGAAACAGATGGGGAAACAGTGGAAACAGTGACTGATTTATTTTTGGGGGCTCAAAATCACTGCCGATGGTGACTGCAGCCATGAAATTAATAGACGCTTACTCCTTGGAAAGAAAGTTATGACCAACCTAGTTAGCATATTAAAAAGCAGAGACATTACTTTGCCAACAAGGGTCCGTGTGGTCAAGGCTATGGTTTTCCCAGTGGTCATGTATGGATGTGAGAGTTGCACTGTGAAGAAAGCTGAGTGCCGAAAAATTGATGCTTTTGAACTGTGGTGTTGGAGAAGACTCTTGAGAGTCCCTTGGACTGCAAGGAGATCCAACCAGTCCATCCTAAAGGAGATAAGTCCTGGGTGTTCATTGGAAGGACCGATGTTGAAGCTGAAACTCCAATACTTTGGCCATCTCATGCAAAGAGTTGACTCATTTGAAAAGACCCTGATGCTGGGAAGGATTGGGGGCAGGAGGAGAAGGGGACGACAGAGGATGAGATGGCTGGATGGCATCACCGACTCGATGGGCATGAGTTTGAGTAAACTCCGGGAGTTTGTGATGGACAGGGAGGCCTGGCGTGCTGCGATTCATGGAGTTGCAAAGAGTCAGACACGACTGAGCAACTGAACTGAACTGAACTGAACTGAACTAAGATCAGCACCTGAGCCCCCTTGTGGCAGAGTTAAAAACAATAGTAGGGGACCTCCCTGTCAGTCCGGTGGTTAAGACTCTGCACTTCACGTGCAGGGTGGCCCAGATTCGATCCCTGGTCAGGTAGCTAGGATCACACATGCCACGTGGCACGGCCATAAAGAAATTAATTAATTAAACAAGCAAACAATAGCCTGTTTTGTGTGCATATTCTCCAGGCAAGAATACTGAAGTTGTTTGCCATTTCCTTCTCCAGGGATCTTCCCAACCCAAGAATCTAACCCATGTCTCCTGCATTGGCAGGTGGGTTCTTTACCACAAGTGCCACATGGGAAGCCCTTGAGAAGTATAGAAAAAAAGTGGGAGGGAAAAGACGGCCAAGGAAGCTGTCACATGGGTGGAATTCAGTAAACTTTCTGAGTCTAAACCCAACAGACGAGCTCAGACCGGCCTGACCCCTGCTCCTGGCAGCCTATGAAGAAAAGGTTCACATTTTTCAGATGATGTCAGTGCTTCCTAGTGCATCTTGTTCTTTGTGGACTAGGAGTCCCAAGCCCTTCCATGTACAGAATTTACTTTCTGATATTGTTATTTAGTGGTAAGTTTGGCAGATGACAATGTTAAGCAATCAAGCCCAAACAGCTTCGAGATGTCAGTAGCATTGATAAGCCGGAGAAGCAGTTGCTGTGGGGGAGGTGGCGGGCAGCAAGCAAAGCCAGGGCTTTGGGCCAAGGCACCAGGCATCCTCAGTGCTTCTCAGTTCCCCGGCCACACAGGGTTCGCTGGCTGGGTGGAGTGGTTGGCCCTGGAGTTACTCAAGTTCTGAGGATAATCGTGCTGTTACCACAGGATGATTCATGGGACTGTTCACATTTTCAGATATAAACGAATGCGCTGCGAATACACACACATGCAGCCTCCATGCCAACTGCCTCAATACCCAGGGATCCTTCAAATGCAAGTGCAACCAGGGGTATAAAGGCAGCGGACTGCAGTGTGCCCGTAAGTACACTTGGTCACAGTATCTTCGCTCTTCCCTATAAAGCATTCACGCCTTGTCTCCTTCCTCCCTTCCTTCTCTCTGCTCCTTCCCTCTGTGTGTTGGGAGCAGACGGGGGCGGGGGGGGGGGGGCAAGATGCGTGCATACAGTGTTTGGAAACTGAAGGGTCTTCTGTTTACGACATGTTTTCAAATACTGAAAATAAGATTTGAGGACAATGACACTGAGCAAATGTATCAGTCAGGAGAGGCTCTGTTACGGGGCAATAACAAACAGTCCTGAAGTATCAGTGGCTTAGAACCAGAGAAGGTTTTTAACCATGTGAGTCAGGACTTTTTTCAGAACGTACACCTGAAAAAAAAGTACAATGAAGCTAACCTCCCTTTGTCATCCTCCTCAAGCCTCTATAAACTTTTTTTTTTTGATGTAGAGTCAAGTCCCATGGTTTTTGCTGATAAATTCTTTAATGCTCAGCAGGTAAACTCTGATACACTCAATGTATAATAAGAAAACATCACTGCGTCAAAAGCTACAACAATAATCACAGTTTCTTTTGCCACTTGTGCTATACCCAGAGAGAGTTGTCAGGGCGTTTCTTGTCCACATTGTCACTTAGGAATGCCAGCGGACAGAGGTCCCACTGTCTTATGGTACCATGGTGTCAATCCAAGGCTGAGGGTTCTTCACAGCAGTTAAAGAAGTGTCGACAATCTGATTAAGCTTGGAAGCAGGGGAGAAAATATATTTAATCCGGTCATGCATCCTGAAAGAGAAGAAAACTGGAAATCATGGTGAGCACCCTGAATGTCTTCCAAGACCAGCCAGCAAAGATTACAGGATGGTCATGTGCCTGACCAACCATGTCCCACTCTGTTTAGTCACCTGGGCTTATCCTCTGATCATGTCCCTTTTAGCATTGGCTCATTGTGTGCCAAGACTCGTTGGCCACCCTGACACTATTCTCTCATAGATGCCTTAGGAGCATGGCCACATATTCCAATAAATATGGCTGTAAGTCGTCCCTTGACCTGTATCCCATCCTGTACCCCCACCTGGCTGATACTCCTGATGACAACAGAGCCGAACTCAGTGATAGCAAAAATAAACAGTCCACACACCATGTTGGACTCTGAGCACCACACTCATAAAAGATTCATCATACCCCAGCGGCACTGGATGAGATGATGTACAGAAGAGTATAAGCAAGGAAGATGAGTCTGGAAATCACATTCCTTGAAGAACTGCCAAAAGAACTGGGCAGTGTTTAACCTGGAAGAAAAAAGAAAAAAAAAGTGTGGAAAAGCAGACATAGTGCCTGTCAATATTTTGAGGAACGTAAAGTAAAAAAGCTAACTCACTGGAAAAGACCCTGATGCTGGGAAAGATTGAAGGCAGGAGGAGAAGGGGACGACAGAGGATTAGGTAGATAGATGGCATCACCGACTCAAAGGACATGGGTTTGAGCAAACTCCAGGAGTTGGTGATCGACAGCGAGTTCTGGTGTGCTGCAGTCCATGGGGTCACAAAGAGTCGGACACGACTGAGTGACTGAACAGCAACAAAAGTAAAAGTGCCTTCCCATAGCCGAAGTAGGCCAAGGGCAGGATTGCATTCTCTCTGACAAATTTCCCCATGTGGGGTCTCAGAGTGAAGAAAATCTGTAGAGTGGGGACCATGGCTTCCAGGAGGGGCCCCGCCTTGGGCTGGAGATGGGATTCAGCAACTCCTCGGTCTCCAATAGCTTGTTGCTGTGGTTTCTGTCCCTCTGTGTAGATGTGTCTGTGGCGTCCTTCTGAAACTTTATTCAAAGAAAGACTGAGAGACTGGCTTCCTATGCAGGGATGTGCATGGGTAGGTGGGATGGTGGGAAAGATACCATAATTTTGAGAGACCTGCAGAGAAGAGATGGAATCAGTACACTTTCCACACAGGATCAGTGGTCAAGGGCTCCTTCATGCCACCAACTTTGCACATGTCCATTCTGGCCTCACTGGTCTCAGGTCATCTGGTCGACAGCCCAGCTTAGGGCTAGGAAGGCCTGAATTTGAATCTGAGCTGTACCCCGTATTGCCTGTGGTTTTTCGCCAGGTGCTTCACCTCTCTAAACTCTGTGTCTTCCTATCTGAAATGGGCCCCATGGTGGTCCTTTAGCGAGTCCTCAGAAGGGGCCAGGCCACCATCCCTCAGAGACCCTTGACTTCAGTGAGGTGGGGGACAGTTCTGTGCATGTCCCAAGCCCCAGTGCAGTGGACTCTGTCTGCGTTGTGGCCTTGTAGCTTCCCCCTGGGGCTAAACCCCCAAGTTCTCACCCCCAGGGACAGTCAGTCCTCAAGCCGTGAGGGCCAAGGGTCTACACCTCAATCCCCCAGCCTCCCCTGTGCAGCAGGCCAACTCTGAGGTGGGTTCTATGCTGGTCCCCAGATATCCCTCGTCACCCACTGTGATTACCTGTCCACTGAGGCACCATTTTCGACTCTCCTCCCTTCCTGTCTCACCGTCCCTCTTACCCCTCTTCCGCCTCCTGGAATCACCTGTTAAGTAAACCACCAGCACCCCAATCTTTTTCTTGGGTTATGTTTGGGGGCCCCCACATTCCTCCCAATACCTCTCTCATAGGTTCATTGAGACTTGAATGAGGTAGTATAGATAGACGGGTTAGTTCAGCTGGGCACATAGTAGATGCTCAATAAAGTTAGCTCTGGCTCAGACTGTTATTAGCACAGTTTCAATCATTTCATTAAGGTCTAGCTCCTCCTGACTCTGAAATCCTGTAAAAGCAAAATGCAGAAAAATGCTGTGCATAGGAAAAAAAAAAAGATGCACTGGGAAAATACTTGTGTCTGTAAGGCAGCAACTCACCTCACCTCCACGTACTCATCCCTGCCCCCCAGACCAAAGAATCACAGAGATTAGGAAGAACTGGCCAAAAGAGGCCTGGAGTGCTCTTCCTTCTTAATCACTTGCTCCCTCTTGAAACCGCAGTGTGTCGTCAACGTCCAAATGAAGGCACCGTTTGCAAGCGTGCCAGTGGGTAGCTGTTTGCAACCCATGTTTTTGTTATTGTAGCCCAGTGTTTAGAGATTATAAATCCCACATCAACCCAAACAGTTTTTAAATTTTATTGAAGTATAATTTGTGTACAATGTTGTGTTAGTTGCAGGTGTACCGCAAAGTGACTCAGACATATATATATATACATACACACACACATATATACATACACACACACACATTCTTTTTCAGATTCTTTGCCCATATAGGTTATTACAGAATATTGAGTAGAGTTCCTTGTGCTACACAGTAGGTCTTTGTTGTTCATGTATGTCATATATAGTAGTGAGTATGTGTTAATCCCAGCCTCCTAATTTATCCACTCCTCTGCCTTTCCCCTTTGATAACCATAGATTTGTTTTTAAATATATGAGTCTGTTTCTGTTTTGTAAATAAGTTCATTTGTATCACTTTTTAAAGTTAGATTCCATGTATAAGTAATATCATATGAAATTTGTCTTTCCCTATGTGACTGACTTCACTTAGTCTGATCATCTCTTGGTCCATCCATGTGGTGCAAATAGCATTGTTTTTTTCTTTTTATGGCTGAGTAACATTCCATTGTATATATGTGCCACATCTTTATCCATTCCTCTATTGCTGGGCATTTAGGTTGTTTTCATGTCTTGGCTGTTGTAAATAGTGCAATGAGCATAGCAGTGCATGTATCTTTTGAATTAGAGTTTTCTCAGGACACATGCCCAGGAGTGGGATCGCTGGATCGTGTGGTAGTTCTTTTTTTAGTTTTTTAAGTACTCTCCATACTGTTCTTCACAGTGGCTGTATCAATTTACATTCCCACCAACAGTGCAGGAGACTTCCCTTCCCTCCACACCCTCTCCAGCATTTACTGTTTGGGGACTTTTTGATGATGGCCATTCTGACTGGTATGAAGTGATAGCTCATTGTAGTTTTGATCGCCTTTCTCTGATAATTAGTGATGCTGAGCATTTTCTCTTGTGGTTTTTGGCCATCTGTATGTCTTCTTTGAAGAAATGTCCATTTTTCTGATTGGCTTGTTTTTTTGACATAGAGTTGCAGGAGCTGTTTGTTATTTTGGTCAACCTAAACATTTCTTATGCTAAGAAAACTTTTTTTTTCCTTTGATCATCCAGCTCTAAGCTTATTTAGGGGAGTAGTTTAAAACAAATTTTTCTTGCTTCTTCAAAACCTCAAACTCTTCACAATGTTCTTTTTTATATCTGAAAAATCATCCATTTTGTTACTATCCATTCTGCAGCAGAATCATTTCTCTAGTCTTTTGCCAAAATGTTTATTTACAAGAGAAAACTATCTTCAGGTCGCTCACTATGTTATTTGCCCAGTCCTTTCCATTCTGCTTTGATTGATTCTCTGTAAAATAAACAGCCATGTCTCTTTTGAAAATTGATCTTAACTTCTTAACACACATTGCTGAAAGCATGGCCAAAATCCACCCTTACATGCAAAGAAAAATCATAGAAAAAATGAGAGAATCACATCTAATTAGTGTTCAGCATTATAAAATGCTGTGTTGTAAAATACATTTGTATCCATGTGAACTGCTTGTATATAATAATAAAGCAGCTTTTATTATGAGTTTATTGTTTTTGAAAAAGTCCAGACCCTACATGGCAGTACAGAAGAGTTAGTCAATTATCCTTATTCACCTATATCCAAAGAACAATGCAACCTAAATGTGGATGTGTGTAGTTTTTTTTTTTTTTTTTACTGTTCTTATATGTGTGTGTTTATGTTAGTCTCTCAGTCATATCTGACTCTTTGCCACCCCATAGACTGTAGCCCACCAGGCTCCTCTGTCCATGGAATTCTCCAGGCAAGAATACTGGAGTGGGTAGCTGTTCTCTTCTCTAGGGGATCTTCCCAACCCAGGGATCAAACCCAGGTCTCCTGCATTGCAGGCAGATTCTTTACCATCTGAGCCACCAGGGAATATGTGTGTATTAATAATGCACCATTAGATAATTTGGCCTTAGTTTGACAGCAGCTATATGTCATTCTAAGGAAATCAAAACTCTAGTACTAACCAACTTGGTTAGTAACAGTCAATTTAAGAAAGGACACTGTCATTTAGTTACCAAGAGCATGGCTTCTGGAATCAAATTACCTTGGCTTGATTCCTGGCTCCCTAGCCTAATGCTTATGGTCTGAGAACAAACTAAACTTTTAGGGTCTCAGTTTCTCTCTTCAAAATAGTGCGTGCATGCATGCTAAGTCGCTTCAGTCATATCCAACTCTTTGCAACACTATAGACTATAGCCTGCCAGGCTCTTCTGTCCATGGGATTCTCCAGGCAACTGGAGTGGGTTGTCATGCTCTTTTCCTGGGGATCTTCCCAGCCCAGGGATTGAACCTGTGTCTCTTATGTCTCCTGCATTGGCAGATGGGTTCTTTACCACTAGTGACACCTGGAAAGCCCATAATAGTGTCTGAGCCTTAATACTATTTTGGCTATTATATGAAATAATTCATAATAATTAAAAAATCCATGTGTAGGGCTTAACTCCAGCCCAGAATGTGTTAAATGCTCTATAACCATGCACTCATAGGAGGAGTAATAGTGACAATGGCTTCTTTACCAAAATTCAATGATGGTTCCCATTGGAAAGCAGCTTCTTTAGTCATTGAAAATATGCTTTAATCATTAGAAGTTCACATTTTACAGAGCATATTCAAGAATATAGGTGTGAGTACAACGAGGCCATTCCAATACTTTTTCCTTCAGTAATAACATAAGCAGAAGAGGTATGATCTGGAAAAAAATTTAACTTAGTAGAAGATTTTTGACATTCTGGTGATGAATTCTAAAAATAATAGTAAACACAGGCCCAATATATGTTGAGCACTGATCTTAGTAATTGACATGTATTCACTCATTTCAACCTTATGAATGCCCTCTTTTTATCCTAGCTTTTTTTTAAAAGTCAACTTGTCATTTATTTATTTATTTGGCTGTGTTGGATCTTAGTTGCAGCACACAGAATCTTTCATTGCGGTACACGGATTCTCTAGTTGTGGCATGTGGGCTTAGTTGCTCCATAGCATGCAGGAATCTTAGTTCCCCGACCAGGGATTGAACCTGTGCCCCTTGCTTTGCAAGGTGGATTCTTAACCCCTGGACCACCAGGGAAGTCCCTATCCCAGCTTGAAAAATGCAGAGACTGAGGCAAAGAGAAGTGGGCTCGAGGTCCTAGGACTAGAAAGTGTGAGGAATTGGGAGTCATACCCAGGAACCTGGGTTCCAGGTCTGTGTGCCTCAAGGCAGCGTGGTGTGTCCGTGACTCATGGCTACTCCTCTGGGGTGGATGCCTCCCCTGGGCCCTCCCCATCAGACACTCCTGGCTCAGCTTTTCTGCTGTCCTACCCACTTCCCAATGCCTGCATCTCATGGTGCAGTGTATTCCTCACCCATGACTAAGCCTCTCCACCCAAGACTATGTCTAAGACGCGAATGAGAGGGGAGTTTCTGCTGCCAGGTGGTAGGAGAACATCTGGTGAGCTCAGCACAGGGAAACGAATTGTCAGAGTCATGCTTCTCCTGGGAAAGATGTTCTCACATCATTGTGATCTTCTCCAAGTAAAGTGAGGATCTAGGTAGGTTGAAGTTTTTGACAAAGTGGATATTTAGAGAAATCTCAGATTTCTCCCAAGAGAAATTGTCAGTTTCACTTACATAAGACTGGCCTGTGCGTGTGAAAACCTTGGAAGTCCCTGTTTTGATGTCTGGAATCCCCAAATGTGCCAGACCCTCCTGCCACAGCTTCCTGCCACGTTTATATATTCTCAAAAAGAAGATGTGCTAATCAAGAAATTTTCAAGAGAAACAGTCATCAGCTATGTCCAATATGAAACAGCAGCACCTAGACACAGCCAAATCTATCCATTCATAGTCATGCATAGGCAGAGTTTGTTTTGCCCTTGCCCCAGCCCTTTACATACTAAAGAAGTGAAATTGTTGACACCGCAAACGTTGATTGATTTTTTTTTCCAGTGGGAAAACTCAAAACTTCAAAGCAGAAACCAAAGGCAGATGTTTAGGTTTGCCTGGTGTGGATTGAAACCCTCTCCTCATTATTTATAATATTAAAGGTCATTAGTGTCATGTTACTGATTGCATGAAGTAAATTTCCAGGGAATGGGTATTTCCTGTTAATTTTTCACTCTGGATCCTGGGAAAGGAATCTGGGTCCCGTAGACAGAGTTGCACAGTGGGGCCTCCAGAGGAAGATGTATATATGCACATTACTTAAAATCAGAACTTACGCAGCTTCTGGCAAATCAACTGAAACGGGCTATCTGAAGGTCAAGTAAATGAGTAATGATGCATTATTTGTATTAGTCCTGGAGAAGGAAATGGCAACCCACTCCAATATTCTAGCCTGGAGGATTCCATGGACAGAAGTGCCTGGCAGGCTACAGTCCATGTGGTTGCAGAGAGTCGGACACGACTGAGTGACTAACACACACAAGAAAAATATTCTAATAAAAATCCCAATCCAATGCCTTTTTGTAATATTCTTTTTGAACACTGAAATTGGTGCCTACTGCCTTATTTCATTTCCCTCTGAACTCTATCCAGGTTGTAGAATCAAGTGAATTGGTTCAGATGGTATTAGACCCTTTTTGCTTAGTCTCAGACTAGCACATGCCTGGATGTTTTATAAAAAGACAATATATTTGATTTTAAAGGTCAGAGTTTTTAATCTTTTTAAATTCTTTTTTTTTTCAGCCGCACCAAGTGGCTTATGGAACCTTAGTTCCCCAATCAGGGATTGTGCTATACAGTAGGGTCCTTATTGATAATTTTACATATAGCAGTAGTGTGTATCTGTTAATCCAAAACTCCTATTTTATCTCTCCCTCCCTTTTCCCTTTAGTAATCATAAATTTGCTTTCTATGTCTGTCAGTCTATTACAAAGATGCATTTTATTTTTTTTCCATTTATTTTTATTAGTTGGAGGCTAATTACTTTACAATATTGTAGTTGTTTTTGTCATACATTGACATGAATCAGCCATGGACTTACATTTTAAAAAAGAATTTAATTTGGTGGTGAGAAATACGAAATGAATGTAAAACTGAATATAGATGCCTCTCTATAAATAATAAGTAAAATCATTTAGCTTTTGATACTAGTTGGTTGAGGCGAAGAAATTCAAAGATACATATACACTGAATCAAAAATCACCATTTTTGTATGTCACAAATGGCTCATTATTGGCAATGTACATATGGTTCAACATAGTGCTAGCTATAATTTTTTCACATCACATTTAAACAAATTACAGGGCTCCCTGGGCACTAGCAGCTTTGACAAATACCAATGTGAAAGCAGAAATATTAGAGGATTGTGGAAAATCCATCACGTTGTGATCTATAACCCAGCTTGGTAGGAGCAGGTATTTCATCATCATAGTTTATGAAGCAAAATGAAAGTTTGTCTTCGAATGATTAAGGTAGTTAAGATCCTGCTGTAACCATTGAAACCACTTAAAACAGATGCAAATGCAGTTCTTTCTAAAATATCAGATGATTGAGCCTTATATGTGTTGATTCTGGAAGCATTCATTGACTGCACTTTGACATTTTTTAAGTGCGCCATTTTTGTGAGAGATCTAATTATTGGTCAATGTGGAACTTCTCTTTTACTGTTGGTTTTAGTTATCCCCGAAAATTCTGTGAAAGAATTCCTCAGAGCACCCGGTACCATCAAGGACAGAATTAAGAAGTTGCTTGCTCACAAGAATAGCATGAGAAAGAAGGTAAAAATGAAAAACATTGAAGGATCCAGAGGGACTCCCACCCCAAAGGTTGACTTGGAGCCCTTCAGTTCTGAAGACAATGTTTCCAGAGATGGGAACCCTCATGGAGAAAAAAAGAGGAATGAACACAGAAAGAAAGAAAAACTGGAGGATGAGAAAAGAGATGAGAACCATGTGGAGCAGGAGCAAAGCCTTCGTGGAGATGTGTTTTGTGAGTATCAAGTATGACTTTTGTTAATTTATGCATCTTAAGAAAAGTGAATTGTAGTTTCCCCTGGCAAATGACAGGAAAGAGGAGGATAGTTTCATGCCGTAACTAAGATGGTGAAGTAAAGTGTGACAGTTAGTCGCTCAGTTGTGTCCAGCTCTTTACGACCCCATGGACTGTAGTCCACCAGGCTCTTCTGCCCATGGAATTCTCCAGGCAAGAACACTAGAATGAGTAGCCAATCTCTACTCCAGGGAATCTTCCCAACCCAGGGATCGAACCCTGGTCTCCCGCATTGTAGGCAGATTCTTTACCATCTGAGTCACCAGGGAAGCCTAAATAAGATGGGGTCAGCTTTAAATCCTAAGAAGCAAGGTTCTCTGTATGGTCTGGAAACTAACATCTTCTGCAGATACAAAATCACATTTGCTGCTGTGGGATGCACAGAAGGTCAGTCCTTTCCACTTACCTGGGGGGTGTCCTATTTGATGCAGCCCCTCATTCTGCTCCTGACCAAGGAAGCCTGCTTGTCCTTCCAGCTCAGTCATCTGGCTGCCCAGCTTTGCATGCAATGCACCCCTAAACCCCAGAGAGCCCCCCTGCAGCCCAGGTAGATCTGCTGATCTCTACCTTTTTCCTTCTTGAAGGCACTTTTCACAGGCACACTCAGTGAAAAGAGAATGTCAGAGTTGTGTGGTTATAATTTAAAAAGGTAAAATAGACAGAGCAACATTCTATATAGGGCTTAAGCTTCAGTTTTCTACATGAGCCGGAGAATCACCATTGGCACTGGTGACCATGCAGAGCCATCATCAGCCTCGGCTCCTGCAGGGTGATTTCCATGTTGACCCAATCTAGGACTTTCTCTTTCATTCTCACCAGGCATCTGTTGCTCCCTCTCTATTTTGCCTTGTCTGTGCTTGCCTCATTGTTGTTGCTGTTGTGCAGTCACTCAGTCGTGTCCAACTCTTTGCGACCCCATGGGCTGCAGCACACCAGGCTTCCCTGTCCTTCACCATCTCTCAGAGCTTGCCCAAACTCATGTCCATTGACTCAGTGATACCATCCAACCATTTCATCCTCTGTTGTCCCCTTCTCCTCCTGCCTTCAATCTTTCCCAGCATCAAAGTCTTTTCTAAGGAGTCATTTCTTCCCATCAGGTGGCCAAAGTATTGGAGCTTCAGCTTCAGCATCAGTCCTTCCAATGACTATTCAGGATTGACTTCCTTTAGGATTTACTGGTTTGATCTCCTTGCAGACCAAGGGACTCTCAAGTATCTTCTCCAACACCACAGCTTGAAAGCATCAGTTCTTCAGTGCTCAGCCTTCTTTATGGTCCAACAGTCACATCCATACATAACTACTGGAAAAACCATAGTATTGACTATACAGATCTTTGTCAGCAAATCATATCTCTGCTTTTTAATATGCTGTGTTCAGGTTAGTTAGGTGATGCCTAATGAGGTCCACTGGGGGCACCTTTCAAAAAAGATGTTCTAGATGAGGAAACTGACACCAATATGAATGCTTTGGAAATGTTAGGGAAACACTGCTGTAACATACTCTGTAAGTAGAACACAGCTGTCCCTTGGTATCCCTGGGGGATTGGTCCCAGGAACCCCTGCAGACACAAAATTCCATGGATGCTCAAGTTTTATATAAAATGGTGCAGTATTCATATATAACCTAAACACATCCTCCCCTATACTTTAAGTAGTCTTTAGATTACTTAAAAGACCTAATACAATGTAAATGCTATGTAAATGGTTTCCTGGCATGCAAGGCAAATTCACGTTTTGCTCTTTGGAACTTTCTGGATTTTTTAAATATATATTTTCAACCTGTCGTTGGTTGAATCTGTGGACGTGGAGCCCGTGGTTATGAGTGGCCAGCTGTGTATAAGCCATATATGATAAACCCTCTTTGTTCATTGATTCATACCTTCTTAGTATGTGGGGCTTTAGGGATTTTTTTTTTACTGATCAAGTGTTCATTGTTAGCCCCTAAGGTGAATGAAGCGGGTGAAGTTGATCTGGTTCTGGTCCAAAGAAAAACTACATCATCCCACCTGAAACACAAAGGTGAGTAACATATATTAGAAATGAGTATATTTTAGGAGTAATAGCACTCATAAAGAATATTGAAGAATGGAAGCAAGCATTACCTGGCATCTTTTAATTTTAGAAGTTAGAAATAAAATATCTTTTCTGGAATAGGGGAAAATACTGGTTAAGAAGAAAGGAAAGTGAGAGAAGAGGCCGTGTGTTTGTACTGGCTTAAGATATATGTAGATGGACAGCCTGGATTCCAATCTAGTTTAGGAGTCAGGTCTAGTTCCAGCCTTCAGTGTTTGGAGGACTTGGTCAAATCACTTATGACTCTCAGTTTTACTTTCTTGAAAATGGGCATGATTGTAGAATTTTTGTGGCAGCCACATCAAATGATGTAATGTACGTGAAAATGCTTTGCAAATCGTTAATGCATCAACAACTAGTTGCTGCCCCTTATCACTTTAGCTTTTCCCCTTTCTTTACCCTTCCTGTATTCCTTAATATAAACTGCAAACGCCCCCCATTCCAAGCCAGAGTCTGGTATTCATTACAAATCAGAAACATCTCAGTCTTTCCTCTTTTTCCCAGTGGTAATTTCTGACACCTACATCAGAGGTCAAGACTTTTTTCTATAAAGGGCCAGAGGGTGAATATTTCAGGCTTTGTGAACCATACACTCTCTGTTGCATCTGTCAGCTCTATCACTGCAGCTCAAAAGCAACCACAGACAATATATAAATGAATAGGCATGGTGTGTTTCAATAAAACTTTATTTGCAAGAACAAGCAGTGGGCCAGGATGTTAGTTTGCTGACCCCAATCTACATAAAAGTAACTGGAGGCACTGGGTCAAAGGTTGTGCTAGCTGACCCTGTACTCCATGCAGTTGTTAGGATTTGTTAAGTGAACATTTGTTAGATTGAGCCCCTGGGTGCCAGATGCTTCAACAAAAGACCACAAAAGAAATTGAAATAGACAAGTTTATTACTCCAGGTCTTGGGGGATGACATGGCAAGGCCTCCAGGGGCCCTAGAGGGAAGTCCAAGCAGAACGTGGGGCACACGCCTCTAGGAGGGTCCATGTGTGTGTAGTGCTTTGGGCTTGTTGGGCTAAGGTTGCATTGATGGACTCCAACAGAAACAATTGGGGTGTTAGTAAGCTTCATGGGGATCTTATCTAAGGCAGACACAAGGCCCTGGGAAGCAGGGGAGGGTGTCAATCACAGGGGACATTAGGAAAGTCATGTGAGGAATTCACTTTTCTCAGTGACTCCATGGGTTCTTATCTAGGGCTTGCACTTGCGTGAGGGCTGGTGCCAGTTTAAGGCCCTCACAGACTGCAGGGCCAAACAAAATGGATGCCAAGACAGCCATACTTAGCTAAACTTTTTTTAAATTGAAATATATTTGATTGACAATGTTTGTTAGTTTCTGCTGTACAGCAGAGTGATCCAGTTATACATTCATATGCACATATTTATTTTTATATTCTTTCCCTTGTGGTTTGTCATAGGATATTGAATATAGTTCCCTGTGCTATGCAGTAGGACCTTGTTGTTTATCCATCCTATATATCATAGTTTGCATCTTTTAGTCCCAAATTCCCTAAACTCTTGACAGCAATTGCAAACATGGCCATGCCTTCCAAAGCTCCCAATGTTAAAACATTTCCTAATCCGCTTAATGATACTGAAATGCACCCTTTTTCTTAGCAGATTTAAATATCTCAGTTGACTGCACCTTTGACCATGGCGTCTGTGACTGGAAACAGGACGTAGAAGATGATTTCGACTGGAATCCTGCGGACCGAGATAATGGTATGTAGTCTTCACTGATCCATGTCCTATGATCCGGCCCCGGAATTAAAGTTATCCAATGATTCAAGGGTAATTGTTCTCATTGCTTGTGAAGTCAGGGTTGTTGGTCACGTTTGGAAGCTTTTAGACCTTCCCAAGTCTTCCCTGATAAATGATTGACTTAGTCTGTTTCCCACCCACCTACCCTGTAAAGGATTCTCCAGCAAACCTCTTCCATATTCACTCCCCTGCTGCTGAGACACAGATGTAGCATTTTGTATAAGGTTTAAGAGTATTTGGGAAAAGGTAGAAGGAGGTTGTTTCTTTTCCCCAGTTTACCAGCTATGGTGCTCTGTGGTTTTCTTTTGAGTTTAGGAGGAGGGGAAAATGAATCTTGAAAGAAAATATTAATATGACCTTTCCCTAAACCTGGAGTTTTAGGAGTGTCATCCCTCAGAGCACTGAAATAATATCGAGCAACAGATCAGCACTCTGAACTCCTGGACTGGACTTGCCCACCTATCGTTGGAGGGTTTCTTTCTTTCCAGTTAACCTTGAATTTTTCTCTGCCGAAGCTTTGAGTTGCCTACTTTCCACTGTCTACTCTTGATGGGCTCTAACTTCCTTTGAGGCAGAGCATTTGGTTAGCAGATCCCATTTGGAGCATAAATTGAATTTTGGTCATTTAAGGCTGACTGTAATTAGAAATAACTGTTATACCTTCAGGAAATCTGGTTCTTTACCAATCAAAGTGTTTATTTGGGGAGGTATATGCCCAGTCCTCAGGTAAAAGATCCTTCTAGATCCTTCCTTGTCACTGATTCCTCCCTGAGAGCCTTTCTTGCAAGCCCTTACATGCAATCAGGAAACCTGGGTATCTCCTAACAAAAATTCCTTTTAGAACGTGGGATTAAGGTACAGGATAGAAGTTCCCTATTTACAAACCCCTGATTTGCAAATAACCCTGAGGTTCACTCAACACGGGATGAATCAGCATTTTTAGAAGGATGAAATCTCAAGGACAGATCAAAGTGGGCTTGAACTGGAGTGAAAAGGAAACCTACCATGGTGGGTCACAAAAGACTGTAGGTAGTAGCACTGCTAGATAAAATGTAGGATGCCTCAATTTCTGATAAGCAGCGCATGCTTTTTAGTACATCTCAGACATGTTTATGTGAAATGAAAACTTCACAGGGCATTCTGTACTTTTATTCTCTGAATCTGGCAAACTTACTAACTGAGGGAAGAAGACCAGACAGTCTCTGGGTCCAGTGAAAACTAAAGCTATGTCAACCTGGGCCCTGAGAATGTCTCTAGGAGTTGGACTACCAGAAAACTCCACCACCCACCATGTCTTTCTCCTGGCTTCTAGAGGAATATCTTCTTTCTGTCAACTTCTTCGAACACCACCCTATGAGAGTTTCTGTTCAAGTCCATCAAAGCCACAACCAGAAGGCTGCAGATGAGCAAACATCTACTACACTGGTTACAAAATTATTGGGAAAAGGATCTGAGAAACAGAAGGTGATCTGTGTTCCTGCCATCTTCAAACAGGACTTGGAGTGATATGTTACACATGGTGGCTGAGCTCCATGATACCATTAGTACAAATTCATGTATCTTGTGAATTAAATACCATAGTGCTCAAAGACTATTAAATTAGACTCTTACCCCATATTTACTACTACCAAGCTTTGTGAATGTGAACAGATTCCTCATTCTCTAACTCTCAGTTTTCCTCTCTACAGGGCAAAGAATTTCAGCCCTAGGATACTAAAATTCATGTTAGCATGAAAATTTTGTTCCTAAATATTTGAAATGAAAAGAACTTGAGCTTTCCCTATAGGAGCCTAGTGTTCATTTTTTAACAGCTATTTTATTCACTGTAGCCAAACCCTTTGCAATGGCCTCATTAACTGTGGGTTTTTCTTCTCTTCCAGCTGTTGGCTACTATATGGCTGTTTCGGCCCTGACAGGTCAGAAGAAGGACATCGGCCGTTTGAAACTTCTCCTCCCCAACCTGCAACCCCACAGCAACTTCTGTTTGCTCTTTCATTACCGGCTGGCTGGAAACAAAGTAGGGAAGCTTAGAGTGTTTGCAAAAAATAGTAACAGTGCCCTGGCCTGGGAGAAAACCAGGAGCACCAATGAACAGTGGAAGATGGGGAAAATTCAGCTGTATCATGGAACTGATACTCCCAAAAGCGTAAGTGGAAAACTGTATTAAATGAGATATTTACATTCTTTTTCAGTGACTTAACAAACAAAGCAAAACACTTACCTAGGCCTTGGGGCTACAAAGATAAATAAGACTTTCCCCTCCACTTAAAGAGCTTATATTCTGGAGTGAAATAGGCAAGGTATTTAACAGCACAACTAATGATAATACTTGTCAGATGCAGGCGTATCATATTCTGTGGAAATGAACTGCTCATGTGTCAGGCTCCTCCCACCAACTTCCTTCCAAACCGTGCTCTAAATTCCTTACTACATAAAAGCACATCCTGCTCATTGATTTTGTGCCCAGCACTTATCACAATGAATGGAAACTAGAAGGTCATTTTCCAAAATATTTATTTTATTCAGGTATAGTTAATTTATAATGTTGTGTTCATTTCTGCAGTACAGCAAGGTGATTCAGTTCTACCTCTATATGGAGTAAGTCCCCTGTATAGTAAGTCCCCTGCACATGAATGAGCTCTGTTCCTAGAACGCATTTGTAAATCCAGCAAATTTAGCCTAGGTACCTATCTAACACAATTGGCTATATAGTATTGTACTGTAATAGGTTTATAATACTTTTCACACAAATAATACATAAAAAACACAAAAAATAAAGAAAACATTTTAAATCTTACAGTACAGTATCTCGAAAAGCACAGTAGTGCAGAACAATAGCTGGCACACAGGGGCTGGCATCGAGTGGACAGGCAAGAAGAGATACCAATGGAGGACAGAGAGGAGGTGGGAGATGGTAGAGCTGAAGGGTCGTCAGCAATAGGAGACGGAGGGCGAGCTGTAATGTCACTCAGGCCTGACATGAATGGAACATACGTTTGCATCTCTGAAAGCTAGAAACGTGAAGGCTCATCTGTAGGGGACTTAACTATAATTCTTCTTCCTAATCTTTTCCATCATGGTTTATCACAAGGTATTGAATATAGTTCCCCGTGCTCTACAGTAGGGCCTTGCTGTTTATCCATTCTCTAACAGTTTGCATCTGCTAACCCCAAATTCCCAATCCATCCCTCCCCCACCCCACCTTGGTAACCACAAGTCTGTTCTCTATGTCTGTCAGTCTGTTTCTGTTTTGTAGATAGGTTCACTTGTCTCATATTTTATTTTATTTATTTTTTGGCCCCAATATGCCACATGCAGGATCTTAGCTCCCTGACGGGATCAAACCCATGCCCCCTGCATTGGGAGTGCAGAGTCTTAACCACTGGACTGCCAGGGAAGTCCACATTTATGTCATATTTTAGATTCCACATATGACTGATATCATATGGTGTTGGTCTTTCTCTGTCTGACTTACTTCACTTAATGTGACATTCTCTAGGTCCATCCATGTTAGTTCCTGGACCAGGGGTTGAACCTGGGCCCTGGCAGTGAAAGCTCCAAGTCCTAACCAAAAGACCATCAGGGAATTCCCAGTTACTATCTCACATATGATAGTGTATATATGTTAATCCCAGTCTCCCAATTTATCTCTCCCTACCCCGTCCCCTTTCGTAATCATGTTTGTTTTCTATGTCTGTGGCTCTGTTTTGTAAATAAGTTCATATGTACTATTTTTCCCCACTATTTTTTTAGATTCCACATATAAATCATATCACATTTGTCTTTCTCTGTCTCACTTCATTCAGTAGGACCAACTAGATCCATCCATATTGTTGCAAATGGCATTATTTCATTCTTTTTTATGGCTGAGTAATATTCCATTATACCACACCTTCTTTTCCATTCATCTGTTGATGGACATCTAGGTTGCTTCCATATCTTGGCTATTGTAAACAGCTCTGCAATGAATATTGGGATGCATATGTCTTTTCAAATTACAGTTTTCTTGGCACCCAGGAGTGGGATTGGCCTATCATATGGTAGCTCTGTGTTTAGTCTTTTAAGGAACTACCATACAGATCTCCAGAGTGGCTGTACCAATTTGCATTCCCACCAGTGAAGTAGGAGGGTTCACAATGATAATTCAATTTCTTCTAGCCTGGGTTTTGAAAAGAAACTCGTATTATTCCTTTAGTTTTGCTTTTTTTTTTTCCTTCTAAATGGGAAGGAATTCCAAAATTTCCTCTTAAACTTTACTGTTCTCAGCTTTCCACGGCTTTCCAGATTCTTTTAGGTGTTGCAGGAGCCCTGTTTTCTCTGATTGTAGTTCACTCAGTATAGATACCAGGCATCTGGAAAATAAATGACCATATATTCAATGTCAAAGCCTATTTCTATGGAATAGGGACATATGAATTGAGTTCAGTTTAATAGCAATTAAATAGTGGGACTTTATCATTGCTTTAAATATTTTCAAGTAATATTTTATTCCCTCTCCATTATTAGATCATTTTTGAAGCTGAACGTGGCAAGGGCAAGACTGGAGAAATTGCAGTGGACGGTGTCTTGCTGGTTTCAGGCTTATGTCCAGATGGCCTTTTATCTGTGGATGGTTGAATGTTACTGTTATCTTTTATATCTTTATATTTGACTTTTTATGTCAATTCTCTGTTTTTTTATCATAGATTCCCCCCCCCCATTTTAGAAATACAGACTGAAAAATTGTGGTGTACAAACAGACTCATTATTGTAAGATGCCTTTCTTGTATACAATATACTGATATTTGCTTTAAATATAGTACCATTGTGTCTTCTCATTCATTTCTGAGTCTATAAAATGTGGATGTATCAGTTCAGCCCTCCCCACCCCAGTACATTTGATGTGTCTACATGACTTGATGAGCCATTTTATGTGATGTTTCTAGAATTACAAAAAAAAAAAAAAAGGCAGCACAGAGAAATGTTTAACTGTTTGACTTTTATGGCACTTCTTAGAAACTATAACATCACAGATAGACTTTTACCTAAGTGGCTTAGCCAGATCTTTTACAACCAAGGTTGTATATTTAAGTCCTTTGTAATAATAATATCCAAATAACCACCTTGTGTCATGGTTAAAGTTTTTCTAAGTAATAAAATGTGTTGTTGGTTGTATGCTTAATTATGTGTATGGTTATTTGCTTTGCTAGAAAATGTTTTATATTCTTTTTTTCTGTGAAAATACTTATATTATTTTTGACTTATATTCTTAAAAATTCTTAAAATTACTTGCTACTATGGAAACACACAACTGCTTTCTTAGGCCTCATAACTATGATGCCAATTAGCTTAAATTGTTGAACTGAAGGTCTCAGAGAATTATCGAAATCAAATGATGCTAGTAACCAGGTTCCAAAAAAGACCAATGCCTCCTTGTCTATTTCTCTTTTCTTCTGAATTCAAGAACTGCTTTGTGTGGTAATGAATCCTGAGTGTACAGTCATGCGGATGAAAGTATATTCTGTTTTAAGATTCTAGGTTGGAAGGCAGTTCAGGACAGCTCCCAAACAGAAGATTCCCCAGATATTTGCCTGTTAGCCCTGGAAGCGACGAAGGCATTGACCTGTAAAAGGAAGGAAAGCGAGAATGTGTCCACCTACTAATCCTTAAAATTTGAAGCCTTTTTCTTAAGCTTTTTTATATTGAAACTCATAGTAATCCTTCTTCTTTGTCTTTTTCTTTTAAATAATCCTTCTTCAATGTTGAAGAAGGATTATTTAAAAGAAAAAAAAAAGACAAGAAGAAGGATTCAGTCAGTTCAGTTGAGTTCAGTCTCTCAGTCGTGTCCAACTCTTTGCGACCCCATGAATTGCAGCACGCCAGGCCTCCCTGTCTATCACCAGCTCCCAGAGTTTACTCAAACTCATGCCCATCGAGTCAGTGATGCCATCCAGCCATCTCATTCTCTGTCGTCTCCTTCTCCTCCTGCCCCCAATCCCTCCCAGCATCAGGGTCTTTTCCAATAAGTCAACTCTTCACATGAGGTGGCCAAAGTACTGGAGTTTCAGCTTCAGCATCAGTCCTTCCAGTGAACACCCAGGACTGATCTCCTTTAGGATGGACTGGTTGGATCTGAAGAAGGATTACAAGGGTTTAAATCGAACTTTTAAGATGGTGGGAAAAAATACATTGTTTTCGTTTAGTGTGAAGTTCTTTGCCCAAGAAAGTCGACACAGGACTGTGGCTGTATCTGTTAGGATAACTACTAGTTATAGAAACCCCCAAAACAGTGTTTCTAGTGAGACCAGATGAAGAACTGCCTGGCTCAGTGAAATCAGCCCACAGAATGGTAAGAGATAATATTATAAAGTGGTTGTGTTAAGATGTGAAAATGAAAATGTGGGGTGGTTTGTTACACAGTAAAAGTTGACTGACACAAGTGATTTCTATTATATGACTGTGCTAGAACCTGAAGAAGACCTCCCCCACCGTGTCTCCTCAGTGACCAAGGAAATTTGAGAGCATAGTTATGGCTTAGAGTAAAGGAAGGCAGAGAGGAGAATGTGTAGTGAAGGCCAGTCAGTGCCCCAGTAACCCATGTTATAGGAAGAGATGTTAAACTGAAATGAAATAGGGAGGCCTGCAACTATGTTACATATAGGGAGAAAATCAATATGAAGCTGATTTAAATTGAATTTAGTAATATTGCATGTTTCTCTAGTATCTGTAGCAGAGACTTCTAGTTGCCTGCCCAATATCCTTTCTCACCTTTTTCCTTACCAGTATAACCATGTATAAATATATTTGGGGGGACTGCAGTGTATTCAACTAAAAGGCTGTGTTCCCCAACCTCTCCTTCAGATGGGGGAGCTCACTGAAGTCACTGGTGAGGCTTCCAGGAAGGATCATTAAAGAAGGCTCTCAGTCGGCAGTTCCTTTTGCCATTTTGCTTCCTCCTTCCTGCCCGCAATGTGATTGTGAAGGCAGGAGCTCTGGGAGCTGCCTTGTGACCATGAGGGCAAGGGCCACAAACGATGATGGAATACACAGCTGGAGGAAAGCTGGGTTCCTGATGGCATGGTGGCAGGTCTACCCTGTCCCACACTGGTCACTGCTTGACGTTACATGAGACAAAAATAAGTCCTCTCTTGGCCTATCTGGGATTTCAAACAAAACACAATCCAGTGTCAGGTGACCATTCTTCCTGAGCCCCAGAGGGCTGCCCTGGGGCTATGTCCACTGCAAGCCCACAGTCTTTGGGACTAACTTCTTGGACCTTAAATACCAATATCTTGTTTCAAATTCCAGTCCACAGCCTATAGTCATGGATCTCTAGCCTGCAGCACACGGAATCCCATTGGATTCCTTTGGCAAACCCAAGGTCAAATAATTCATCCACGACTCCCATACCTGTGGACCCTGGCCACCACCCAACATGGAACTCCCCTTGTCATTCATCCTCTCCCACTCTCTCCTCCTGTCGCTGTTAGGGGCTCCCTCCTCTGGACACTAACTCCCACCATTTCTGTCCCTTCCGCATCACGCCTGCTCCTCTCCTAAGCAAGGAGGAATACTGAACAACCCCTTCTGCTCGGGCACTTGATGCCTCCTGAAGACTGCACTGATCTCTAGCGTGGCCTGATGTCGCCTATATTTTTGGTGCTCTTCTTTTTCCCTTAGGCACAGAAGACTTGTGGGATGACTCTGGAATACTTTTACCTGAAGATGTTTTCAGATGTCAAGAATCGTTGCCCTCCTTGCAAAGCTAATAAGTTGACCTGTCACAGTTTTCTTAGGTATCAGTAGAAAAGAAAAGCCTCCTGGGTCAGAGAGAGACTTTATTTCTCATGGGACAACAGGTAGCATGGGCCTCAGGGTCACCCCACTGCCCCTTACCCCCCACCCCGAGCCTCCCAGGGGGCGGGGCAACAATGAGGCGGGTCCAGAGGGATGCCAGGTACAGGGTGAGCTTCTGTCCCAGCTGAAGAGTCCTGAGTTAAGGAAAGCCCCAGTCTTATAAGGGGACCACTAGCCCACCTGCCCAAACTTTGCCCTAGAAGGAGACTGGGTTTTTTGCCTTTGTCAGGAAACAAATCTGCTCTGGAGAAATAAGATACTATCTCTATTCTCCCAGGCTGTGTGCCCTACCACCAGCCTTGATAAGACAGCACAGAACAAAAGCAGCCAACGCCTTTTACAGAAAACGGGCAGAAACACCGAGACCCACAGAGAATGGCCTCCCGACAGCAGCCCCTTAGGACCTTCCAGGAGTCAGTTGGGTGAGGGGATGGCACTGAGAAAAGCTGGGCAGCAGTGTGGGCTCCTGAGAAGCTTGGAACTTGGCAACTAACATTCTCACCTTTGATACTACTGCTTTCTGGAACTTACTTTTCCAGGACTGATGCTTAAATCTTTTTCCAGTCAGACCAGAAGAAATCAGGTGAATTAGTTTCTGCAAAATAAACAGACATAAAGTAAAAGCATTCTATGTTCTGAGAAAGAACTATCAATTTTTTTAATTTTTTTGTAATTTTATTTGTATTTTACATTGGGGTAGAGTATTTCATATGTACAGCACAGTGGTTTAGTTAAAACATGTCCATATATCTATTCTTTTTCAGATTTTTTTCCCATATAGGTTATTACAGAATATTGAGTAGAATTCCTGGCACTATACAGTAGTTCCTTGTTGATTATCTATTTTATATAAATGTGTATATGTTGACCCCAAACTCCCCATTTATCCCTCCCCTTCACCTTTCCCCTTTGGTAACCATAAGTTTGTTTTCAAAGTCTGTGATACTGTTTCTGTCTTGTAGATAAGTTCATTGGTATCATCTTTTTAGATTCCACATGTAAGTGATATCATATGATATTTGTCTCTCTCTAACTCACTTCACTTAGTATGATAATCTAGGTTCATCCAACTTGCTGCAAACGGCATCCAAAAATTTTAGAATATGTTATAATTTGATACTTCTTCTCCAATAATGGTTGTTTCTAAGTCAAATATTCTTGCCTTTTAGAACATTTAAAGTGCTGTAGAAATCTGACATGGCCAAGTGGATAATGACTATTTAGCATCATTTCAAGTAAATGCTGTTCTTTTGGTCGGTGAAGTGCTATCAGACAGATAGACCAAATGCCTGATAGTTGCTCCCCAAGCAGGGATGAGGGCTAGGGGTAGTTGCTAGACACATGTGTCTATTTTCAAACTGCCTTTTATAGAGGAATGCCCCTAACCACGTTTGCCTGTAGATATTTTTAAAACTCCTTTAACAGGCCTGAGGCCCTTTGAGAAGGTTTAGACCAGGTCAGATCTAAAAGGCCACTGTAAATGAGTTCAACCTTTTTCTTTTTCCTCTTCAAGTCAGTGAAACAGTGACTGCAAATGCCAGATCACTGTGTTCAGTCTTCACTCAAAGCCTTATCCTGCAGCTACATGGAGGCAGCTTCATTCTGTGTGGCCAGGGAATGGCAAAGCAGTTAGCAATTTGGGATTTCTGTAAATGTGTACAGATAGAGGTTCTTTCTTCCTGTGGAAAATGGAGTTGTAGATTGGAGTAGTTATTTATGACCTCTTGGGAACTCTTACATCTTTAAATACCCTAGCCTGCTTCATAAAAATTCCATCCTTAGCGCACATGTGAAAAAACTCTGTAGAACAGTTTGCAAATTGACTTTTATCTGAGAGGCAGTTGTGGGGTGGTGAGAGCCCCTCCTGGAGCTGAGGAGGGCTCCCCGAAGTGGGTTTAGAATGGAAAGGTTATATCTGCCTATTTTTGACCAAAACTTGTTCTGTGTATATCTCTAGTTGGT